GCTGCCCCCGCCCGCAGACCGCTGGTCCCGCTGGCCCAGATCAGGTCCCTCCTTCCTTCGCCCGGGCTCGGGAGGGAAAGCACTCCCCAGGGACGGACGGGACCGCGGCCGACCAGTGGAGGGACGGGCAGGCCACAGAGGACCCCACAGAGGATCAGGTCTGTGCAGCCGAGGTCCCCCACACCGGAAGCAACATCTTTGTTAGGAATTGATTTTTTTGTCCCCTCCCGTGACCGGGGAGCTCTAATAAGGCAAAGTCTGGTCCTTTGCTTTGGCGATGTGGAGTTGGCCTCCTCGCCCCCCATCACACACACATACACACAGAGTCTTGGCCCCCGGACTGTGGGCCTCATTCTCCTCCCCTCCAAACTGTAGACTGCTAGGACAGTGTTCCCAAACCCAGCTCTGGCCAGGGAGGTGAAGGGAGAACGGATGATTCTGGCGGCTGATGTCTCCCCTTCCCCAGATGCCAAGGGGTCTATCCGCGAGATCATCCTGCCCAAGGGCCTGGACCTGGACCGGCCCAAAAGGACACGCACGTCCTTCACGGCGGAGCAGCTCTATCGGCTGGAGATGGAGTTCCAGCGCTGTCAGTACGTGGTGGGCCGCGAGAGGACGGAGCTCGCCCGCCAGCTCAACCTCTCTGAGACCCAGGTACCCAGAGGCCAAGCCTCCCGTCCCCACCACCCCCAGCCCCTCTTCCTGGTCACCACCAGGCTCTAGGCCCAGCCTCTGGGGGCAGGAGGAGGAGATGCGCCCCATTAGGAGAAAGGCCTAAGGCTTTGTCCTCTTTCATGAGCCATCTCTTCCCCTTGTATTCCCTAATCTTCCACTTCGGCCTGGCCCCTGAGACCCCAAATTATGTCTTTTAAAAAATTCTTTTTGGACTCCAGTCTTCATAATTCCGTTTCCTTCTACTCTACACAGGATTGATTTTGGCCCTTGTTTTAAGCGCTCTGTCTTGACTGTATCTCCAGGCACCGTCCCCTTACACAGCACCTAGGCCCGCTGTTCTGCAGGAAGTTAAGCTAGGGCCCAAACCCCCAGATCCTTTGCTGTGGCTGACTGCTAGGGATTGGAGACGTGCACACCTTCTGTAGCCCCACTGTGCAGACCAGGCTGCCCTGCTCCTTAAGGTCCCCTGGCCCTTGAGTGTGACCAGCCCATTTCCAGCCATGAGTACCACTCTGGGCACCTGGTGGTCCCCGTCTTCTGTGCCAGTGATGCATGAGATATGGAACAGATCATAGATCCAGGATCCCAGAAACTGGCACTGCCCACTGTGCTTTTAGGTCTTGCCCTGTACATTAATTCATATGATGCCACTGGTGCTGGCTGTGTGGTCCCTGGGCCCAGGGGCACTGGAGGGACTGAAATCTTTGCCCTTTGGAGTTCCTGTGGAGCCTGGCCAGGGCATACCACCAGGTGGGTGGGCCTTAGTAAGTCAGCCCTCTTTCTGAGGACTGGCCTAGTTCCCTATGCCCAGCTCTGAAGCTAATGGGGAGCATTTTAGGTCTGGGATTTGGAACGAAAGCTGAGGATGGAGGACAGGATGGACAGAATGTTCTTTGTGAGTTTGAGTTGGTATTGTAGCTTTGTAACTCTGGTACCATCCGTCCACGTTTACAAGACTCTAGATAGGGTAACCTTTCCCTATAGGTGCCAAATTCTGTTCTAAATACTAGCTAGGTCTGAAGAAGACAGAAAGAGAGAAGGTGCAGAGAACTTAGTGGAGAGATCTTAGTCTATCCCAGTCTCTTGACTTCCTCCTGTGATTCCAAATTAAAAAAAAACTAAAAACACCCATTGCCATCCAGTTGATTCTGACTCACAGGGACCCTAGAGTTAGTGGGGCCTGTTTTGGGGAGCAGTAGAGTGATGAGTTATGACCATCACTCCAATCCTCCCACCCAGCTGGCAATGAGCAGAGGTGGAGAAAGCTTGGCCTACAAAGTCCATCCTGTGCCAATCATTCCTTCCATAGCCACCTTTCCCAGTTGATGGTCAAGTGTGACCCCAGCAAACAGGGAGCAGCCTCTTGTGGCCTTGAGCAAGAAGTACTCCTAGGGTTACACTTGAGCCAGTTGGACCAGGGCCCTGCATCCAGGAAGGCCTAGGTGCTTCCACCCATCTACCCCCACTTCCTGCTTTCCAAACAGCATCCTCCAGGCCTCATACTCTGTCTCCAAACTACGGACCCTCTTTGTCAGTGCTGATCCCCAGATGGGGGTCCCAGGCCTGGCTGGGAGTAGCACCAGTGGCCCTGTGAAAGGTCTTCTGGTCTTTGAGTTAGAATCATGACATTTTTATAACTTTGCTATTTGTAAGAAGTCTCAGCTTGGGCTTGATTCCACAACTCAGAAGCATAGCCCAGTGGCATTATGCCCACCTCGTGGCGGCCGGCTCCCCCAGTAGTAGCTCCCTGGCCTCGACCTCTCAGTTGCAGGGTGGGTCTGGGAAAGGGACCTCGGGCCTCTGGGTCCTCGGACCCGGAAGCCCGGCGTCCCTGACGCCGGTCTCCCTTTGCCCCGGCGCGCAGGTGAAGGTCTGGTTCCAGAACCGGCGCACGAAGCAGAAGAAGGACCAGGGTAAGGACTCGGAGCTGCGGTCGGTAGTGTCGGAGACGGCGGCCACGTGCAGCGTGCTGCGGCTGCTGGAGCAGGGCCGCCTGCTCTCGCCGCCCGGCCTGCCCGCCCTGCTGCCGCCCTGCGCCACGGGCGCGCT